CCTACTGCTGATTCCCCAAACCCACCAGACTCTTCCTCACATATGGGCCTTTCTACCTCACTCTTCATGGCTACCCTACTCATTCTCCAGAATTAAAAGTGGGAGCCACCTCTTCTACTCTAGACTAAATCAGACATCCATATTATAGGTTTACATACCTTTCTACATATATTTTCCAAAGTACTTATCATCATACCATCATTTGTTTATGTCATTCTGTACCTTCTTCTCCCAGACTATCAACTTCGAAAGGAAAAGTGTATCCTATTTTTCAGATTAGAATAGTGGCTGGCAAATCGGAGTTATATTTTTTCAATGAACTAATTAATACATTATGGATGCATGAATTTAGTGAGGTCTTAGTTTTTCTTTATTTATATTTATTTATTTACAGTGCTGGGAATTGAGCCTAGGACCCCATGCATGCTAGGCAAGGACTCCACCACTGAGCTCTTTTTTGTTGTCTTTTTGGTTTTTTAAGACAGGATTTCTCAAGCCGGGCGTTGGTGGCGCATGCCTTTAATCCCAGCACTCGTGAGGCAGAGGCAGGCGGATCTCTGTGAGTTCGAGGCCAGCCTGGTCCACAAAGTGAGTTCCAGGACAGCCTCCAAAGCTACAGAGAAACCCTGTCTCAAAAACCAAAAAAAAAAAAAAAAAAAAAAAAAAAGACAGGATTTCTCTATATAACAGCAGCTCTGGCTGTCTTGGAACTCACTCAGTAGACCAGACTGACCTTGAACTCACCGAGATCACCTGCCTCTGCCTCCTGAGTGCTAGGAACAAAGGTGTACAGCACCACCACCAGGCTTTTCTGGCTTTTTAAAAATTTAATTTGATTTGTATGTATGGGTGTTTTGCTTTCATGTATGTCTGTGTACCACAACTACGTAGTGTCTATAAAGGTCAGGAAAGGTGTCAAATCCCCAGGAACCGGATGGTTTTGAGCTACCATGTGGGTGTTGGGAATCAAACCCAGGGCCTCTGAAAGATCAGCCAACACTCTTAACCGCTGAGCCATCTCTACAGCCCCTTGTTTCGTCTCCTTAAGAAAAATCTAGTGGGTATGTGTAAATGTGTGTGTGGAGTTGTACACTTGTGAAGGTCAGAAGAGAACTTTGTGGAGCTAGTTCTTTCCTCCCAGGGACTGAACTCATGTCAGGTTTTGTGGCAGGCACCTTTACCCAGTGAGCATCTCTATGGTCTTTGTTATGTCAACCAGACTGACCTCCAATTCTCAATTTCCCTGTGGCAGCCTCCCAAGTACTATGGTTACAGAATGTATTACCATACTTGGCTCTAATACTGAGTTTTAATCTTTTTCTTTGTATTTTTTTCTACCATGTATTTCGGCATGCATTAATTTCAAAATCAGGGGAAAAGTTATATCCATTATGAGAAAGACACAGAAAAAGTCACATATACATACTGTTTCAGATGATCTTCAGCAAGAGCAAGTCTTTCTCTGCGTCGTTTTTCTTCTTTCTCTTGCTCTTCTTTAAAAGCTTTTTCAACGTTGAGTTTCACTTGTTCGTCCCATTTTTTGTCCGATTTTACTGAATTCTTTTTTAACTCAATCTGAGCATCACGTTCTTTCATAACTCTACTGAGAAGAAGTCCTGACTACAAAAAAAATTGCAGTATTTTAAGAAAACTGTATATAAATATTTAAAGAAGACTGTTAACTATGCATGTTAAATATACATATATATACATATACATATAAATAGAAGAGAAGCCAGATAGTACATGAAAACTTTTCACTCTTTCTGTTTGGTAAAACTGATACTGTTTTGCATTTTCAATGGCCTTCTTTCTTTCTCCTTGTTTATGTATTTCTTCCTCCAAATCAAGAATTTGTCTTTCAGCCTCAAGCTCTTCGTCACGCTTTTGCTTGGCTTTAAGTTTCTGTTCTTTCATTCCCTGTAAAAAGACAAAATAATCACTCTCTCTCTCTCTCTCTCTCTACTGTTGGAGATAAAACCCAGACCTTGTGGTCACCCTAAACCAAAAGCAATCTTTCATTTTTATTTTTCAATTTAATTGACCCCAAAGTTATTATCAATATAAGATTATTTGAATTTCATTATGAATTTTTATTGTGTTTCTATAATTCATTAGTAAACATGAACTTATACTTTGAACTAACCCTTAAATTAATTAATTTGTTTGTTTTGTGTGCATGGGTGTTTTGTCTGAATGTAATCTGTGCATCACATGCTTGTCTGGTACCCAAGGAGGTCAGAAGAAATGGTTGGATGCCCTGGGACTATAGTTACAGAACACTGAACTACCATGCATGCCCTAGGATCACAGTTACAGAACACTGAACTACCATGCATGTGCTGGGACTCAAACCCAGGTGCTCTGGAAGAGCAGGCAATACTCTTGACCACTTGGTCATTACTCTAGCTCTGAAGTAATTTTTAATCTCATTTTTTAAGTGGGCATCACATTTACATGATTCGAAATCCAAAACCATTAATAGGATACATAATGAATCTCTCCAATCCTAAAACTTCACTAAGATTAAAAACGTTTCTATTAATCAATCATGGAGGTGTATGCTGGTAACTCTAGCTACTTTTGGAGGCAGAAGCCAGGCAGGAGGATACTTGAGACTGACTTTGAGGTCAACCTGGACAGTGTAAAGAAATCTCAAAAAGCAAATGAATCTTCTGTCTTTTAAAAGACAAGTTAAGTAAATGATAATTCAAAATATATACTAAGAGGAAATATTTTCAAATACATACATTTTCTTTGAGATGGTATCATGGAGCCCAGGCTAGCCTTAAGCTCACTCCATAGTCAAAGATGATCTTGAACTTTTCCTTCTCTTTGGCCATCTCCTAGTGCTGGGAATATAGGCATTACCCATCATCCCTGGCTTTGAGTAGTGCTAGAGACCAAATCCAGGTTTCATGAATGCTAAGAAAGCATTCTACCAGCTGCAATGCATTCCTAGCCCTGTTTTTGTTATTGTTTGTTTGTTTTTTGAGACAGGGTCTTGGTATGTTGACCAGGCTAGCCTTGAACTCATGATGTAATCCAGGTTGACCTTGAATTCAAGGTCTTTCTGCCTTAGCTTCCTGAGTAGTTTGATTACAAGAATGGACCACCACACATATCTTCAGAATGTTTTTAAAGTTCTTTAAAATCAATAATAAGAAAACAAACTTAATCATAAAAATCTGAAGAGGTGGAAAACAAGTTCATCAGAACATGTTTGGCCACTGGGCTGTGGTGGAGAACACCTTTAATTCTAGCAATTGGGAGGCAGAGGCAATCAGATCTCTGTGAGTTCAAGGCCAGCCTGGTCTACAGAGAGGGTTCCAGGACAGCCAGAGCTACATAGAGAAACCCTGCCTTAAAAAAAACAAAAAGAAAACCACAAAATTACATATACAGTGATCATAGAATTTCACTATACATATCTATATCAAGATATTTACACAAGAGAAATGAGAGCATATGTTCATAAACAGACTCATATATGAATTTTCACAGCAACTATATTTGTAATAGTCAAAAGATGAGACAAACTGGTGTCAACATTTGGTTGATGCAATACCATCAAGTGACCAGATAAATAAACTGTACTGTATCAAACACTAGAATACTACTCAGCAATACAAAGAGTGTATTTAACAAGAATAACTCTTAGATTCTGTTGAATAAAATCTATAATAGTAAATAGCAGATGAATGGTGACTTAGTCATGAGGAGGAGGAGGAGTGACAAGGAGCTAAAACAGGATGTGGAAACTTAGGTGATGAATATGTTCACTATGTTAACTGTAATGATGGTTTTGGAGGCATATATGCACCAAAATTTAAGAAAATGTTTACCTTAATTGGGTCATTTACAGAATGTTACTTAAAGATCTTGAAATTATGTGCCATTGTATTTATGACAGTTTGGATGTAAAATTATTCATAAAGGTACAAGACACTACTAAGAAGCAACAGTCAGTGTTCAAAACATGTGCGTTCTGGAAGTTTGATACTTACTGCATATGTGTTAGTCCAGTGTTTTACCATTTCTTGGGATTGGACATGCATCTTTTTCTTTGCTGTTCTTTCTGCACGAAGGGCCGCTGCCTCTCTTGTCAACCTGTCAAGGCTATCCCGAATCCTTTCCCACTCAGCGTGTGGAATTATGGTGACCTGGCGGAGATCCACCTTGCTAGGTAGCAGAGGTGGATAGGGAATCTCACCTATTTCGGAGTTCTTCATTCCTAATGCATTAAAAAAAATATATTAAATGCTTCTCCAGGAAGAGTTCACATGATTTTTTTTCTCAGAAATGTCTGTAGTGGAGTAGTATCTGGGAATTTCCTCAAACGTGTAATTTAAGAATGGCTGAGGAGCCAGGCATTGGTGGCGCACGCCTTTAATCCCAGCACTCGGGAGGCAGAGGCAGGTGGATCTCTGTGAGTACGACGAGGCCAGCCTGGTCTACAGAGTTCCAGGACAGGCTCCAAAGCTACAGAAAAGACCCGTCTCGTAAACCATCCAAAAATCAAAACACAGATTCCTAAGTATCTGGCCAGCTGAGGCAGCTGTGGGGGAAGGAGTCTAGCTTTCTGCTTTTTCTACCCCCATCCCAGTGAACTTTCTACTGTGCACCCCAGGAAGTCCTCTTTCCCTAGTCCACTCATTCACCTGAAGGCCAAGTTGCCTAACTTCCAAGGATACTCGCTCGGGATGCCTCCGACCAGGAAAAGCCCGTTTCGAAGAGCAGCCGAAGCCGTGGTTCCAGAAACAACCTCAGCTCACCTGTGCTTTCCCTCGTCCGTCCCGAGCGCCGTCCAAAGCGCACCTGCATCTCTAAGTAGCCGAGCCCCGCGAGACCGGAGCGAGAGAGCAGACCAGCGCCACGCCAAGTTCTGCAGCCGAACAGTTGCCAAACGGTTTGGTTGTCTAGCAACAACGCCGGAAGTGACGTTGGTCGCCATGGCGGAACCAGGAAGGAGCCCAGTCTGCGCCGGGAACCCCAGCTCGGGAAGTGCGCCTGCGCGGTGCAGCGGCGGGCCGGGCGCCGCGCTCGCGATCCGGCGTTTACGTCAGGCTTGAGGACCAACCGGCGGACGCTAGAACGGATGCTGGCTGCCGGCTGCGACCCGGGCCTGGGTCAATGAGGATCCCTCTGTCCTGCCAGGCCGGTGTCCCCTTCCCCACCCGCTCCGCTAGTGTGGAGCCGGCCGGTGTGCGAGTCGAGGCCTAGGCCCGGTGCGAGCCCCCACACTGCTCCTCGCGGGCGGAGGTGAAGGACAGACCCCGCTTGGCCTCAGAACCCCAGGGATTAAGGGACATACAAGCTGTTTTTGAGTTATTTGGTTTGTGCGGCGTGGCCAGGGCTAGCTGAGACCCTATGGATAATGTTACATAGGGCTGTTAAGGTTGAATGTTGTCCCCAGGACGTATATACCAAACTGCTTGGTAAATACATTGTAATTAGTGTGCTAGGGAGCCAGTCTCTAATGACACCAAAATATATGAAAGTGGGCTAGTAATTGATCTCTAAAGGCTTTCTGTAAATGTTACAGCTCAGATGGAAAAGTATTCTGGCACTCGGGAGCCAAGGAATACCACGGGTCACAGTAAGCTTACAGCCCTGCTCTAGGGAAAGACTTCCCCAGTGTAACATCTCTGCTGGGCTAGGGGGAGATTTCCCAGCCTTGTTCTCCTTAGTTCTGCCCAGGTTCCTCTGGCAAAAGAAGATTGTCACCCAAACCTCATTCAAGAGATTTGTTGGGAGGGAAGAATCCAGGAGAGAAGACAGCAGCCACCTGAACAGGCACTGGGCTTATATAGGGCTCCCTTTGGGTGTAATTTTTTCCAGGGAGAAATTTCTAGGGTGGGATTGGTCAGATTTCAGTCCCTTGAGCTCAGATTGGCTAGATTTCAGGGATTGGTTGGTTTTCAGCTTAGTTGGTCCGGGGCAGATTTGGCTCTGGTTTCAGGGCCAACGTGTGTTTGTTTCACTGGCCCTTTTTAGCCTTTTGGCTCTAATTTCAGGGTCAGGGCATATATCTATCACTGGCTCTGATTCCAGGGACAAAGTGTGTTTCTTTGGCTCTGATTGCGGGACCAGTGTGTGTTTCTTTGGCTGGCCCTTTTCCCCTACACTTTCCTGACACCCCGAAGTACAAATGGTTTCATTACTAAGTAGTTGGCACTATCAGTTAATTAAGCAAGAACTGTTGTCCCTCACAATGAGAACAAGATTTTCAGTAATGAAAGTTCTAACACATAGTTGTGCTGTTTCTCTTTAGGTTTTCTATCAGATGTTCCACTGTAATAATGCTGGTAAGTACAGAAGGATTAATAAGAATATCTGTAGACAGAAGTTTGTGCACATACGCTAGTGATTTGGAAGCATAGCTGAAAACATGACAGGAATTAAAAGGTCAGGGATTTTACTGTATTGCAGGCAAACACCAACTTGCATAGTTTTGTATGAGCCCCACGATGCCTCGTGAGGGATCAGTGAGTTACTGTGGAAGCTGCCATCATCAGAAATTTTTGACTTAGTTTTCCTGAGCCCCTGTCCCCACAGGGTAATGCAGAGTTGGCAGGAAGTCACATGGATGTGATGTGTGTTCCACTGTAAGACAGGAACTCTGAGCTGAGGGAACTCATCTCAAGGGACAACATGCATGTCTTTATGTTGTCCAGTGTAGAGGTATCTGTGAAACACCTGGGGCATTGAGGACATGTGAGAGTGGCAGCGTCTTAATGGTTATTTTCAGCTTTACTTGGGAAACAAATATAGATATTTCAAAAACAAAATCACAAGTAAGACTAAAAATAACCATTAAAACACTCACTAAGACCTGCCACTCTCACACAAACTATTTTTATGTTTATTATATTTAATTATATGTATGTACATGTGTTTGTGTGAGAGTATGTGCACATGAATGAAGGTTTCTGAAGAGGCTAGGACTGTCAGATCCTCCTGAAGTTACAGGTGATGGTAAACTACTCAATCTTGGGTCTTCTACAAAAGTAGTGTGTGCCCTTAACTACTGAGCCTCCTCTCAAACCCCTTATTCATTTCTTTGCCTACTTATTTAGTGTGTTGTGCATATTTCTTTGCCTACTTATTTAGTGTGTTGTGCATACTGTGCAGTTCAGAGGCATTGAACTCCCTAGAACTGGACCTGCATGTCAGGGCCAACAGACAGTGAGGATTGAGAAGGAAAGACAGAAGATGGAATCAGGAGGGCTCTCGGGGAATACTGCAGCAGCCTTGAGTTTATTTCTCATAGCCCTTTTATACCCAGAGCAAAACAGGGAGGGGAAAAGATTTCTTTTCCACGGTCCAAGGAATAAACAAGCATAATCACCTCCTTGATTCTCAAAACACCTAGTAACCATGCCTTTGTCCAAACTTTCTGTTGTTTGAACTTGAGGAGCAAGAACAAGCTTGAACTCTCTGACCTTAAGTCAAGATGAAATGGAGTCACTGTGGTCTCCCACGTTGCTCTTCCAGACATGGGTTCTGAGGAGTGAACTTGGAGCTCTCAGCAATATGCACTCTTAAAAATGATCTCTCCAGTCCTGAGAGCAAGTTGATTGGCTGATTAATTTTGTTTCTTTTCTTTTCTTTTGAGACAAGTTTTCTATGTATAACAGCTCTGGCTGTCCTAGAACTTGCTTTGTAGACCAAGCTGGCCTCCAACTCACAGAGATCCACCTGTCTCTGCCTCCCAAGTGCTGGGATTAAAGGCATGCACAACTACCACCCAGCTTTGTTTTTTTTTTAATACAGCATATTGGTGTGTATGTGTGTGTGCGCGTGCGCAGCAGTACTCTCTAGTCAGAGGACAACATTTAGGAGCCCTCTCTTTCCACTGTGGGTTTCTATCCTAGCAAGTGTTTTACCATCCGGGTCATCTCACTGTTTTCTTATATTGCACATTGTAACCTAAACTGGGCTCAAGCATGCAGCATTATACCTGCCTTAGCTCCTGAGTTCTGGGATTACTGGTGTGAGCAACTATGCCTGGTCTGTTTTCCAAATGTTAATAAAGGAATTTCCAGGTAAATTCACACTGTTAAAAGTTAATCTGCACGTTCCTAATTTTTGCAGGTTTTTATTTTAAGTACTTCACTGATGTCTGTATATTTATTGGTCATAAAATATGTGTTTGCCTTTTAACAAGAAAAACTGAAATGGCGAAATTCAATTGACTTAACATTTGTGATGTTATTAACTAGATAAAATATTTCCATATGACATTCTCTTTTTTGTATTTATTTCAAGTATATGTTCATAATCAAATTTTGTTTCTTGATATGAGGTAAAGGGAGCCATCTAGAAAACATATTTTAAGCTTTTAAAATACCTTATTAATTTTAGGAGTTAAGAAGTCTCCATTCCTTTGCCATACATCAGATCAATCTCTCTTTGTACAGAAATGGAATACTGTTTAAAGACAGCTGACAATTTAAAGATTTTAATGACCAAAGCCCTATGCTGAAATAAAATTAATTGGACTGCAAGGGCCACTTTAGATGTAGATATATAGATATATATGATGGGAAAATCTAAAATTGGGGAAAATACTCTTAGATCAACCTTAAATGTGTGTTTATTTCACTCTTGTGCTATTTTAATTGTTAAAAGCGCAGTGGTAGTACCCTTTAATTACAGCGCTCTGGAGGCAGAGGCAGGTGGAGCCAGCCTACTCCACCAGGACAGCCAGGGCTATGCAGAGAAACACTGTCTTGAAAATCAAAAAGTACCAAATTAGTATTTATTTTAAAGTAATAAATAGATGTGATGGCATGTACCTTTAATCCCAATACTTAATTAAGAGACACCGTGAGTGGATCACTGTGGGTTCCAGGCTAAAGTTCTTTATAGAGAGTTCTAGGTAAGCCAAGGCTACATGGTGAAACCCTGTCTCAAAAGACACTCAACTGTTGTGTTTAATTAATTTTGTTTGGTTTTGTGTTTTTAGACAGGGTCTCTTCATAGTTCTGCCCGTCCATAAACTGGCTATTTGGACCAGTCTGGCCTCAAACTTACAAAGAAAGATCCTTCTGCCTCTGTCTCTCAAGTGCTAAGATTAAAGGAATTGCCACCACACCAGGTGTAAAATGTTGTACTTAAAAACATGAAATCGGAGCCAAGCTGACCTGAGACCACAATTCCACCTCTAATACCAACTTTTTTATTAGTTGGTTTATATAAGATGAGAGTGACAACAATTATACTTAATAGGATATTAAAATTAGATGAAATGTTTGAGTGATCTTTCAAAAATATATGTTCTCCTTTTGTTTACACATGCAAATTTTTTTCTTGGAATTCTATGTGATTACTATTTTTTAATGTGATGGTTTTCAGCATTTTTTTTCGTTTGTTTGTTTTTGTTTTTACGAGACAAGGTTTCTCTGTATTGTTTTGGGGGCTGTCGGTCCAGCCTGGCCTCGAACTCACAGAGATCCGCCTGCCTCTGCCTCCCTCTGCCTCCCAAGTGCTGGGATTAAAGGCGTGTGCCACCACTGCCCGGCCGGTTTTCACCCATATTAACTATGGCCAACTTAATGTTTCCATTTCTCTTGGGGATTTTTTTAAATTATGTATACAGCATTCTGCCTCCAGGTATGCCTGCATGCCAGAAGAAGACACCAAATCTCATTATAGATGACTATGAGCCACCATGTGATGGTTGGGAATTGAACTCAGAACCTCTGGAAGAGTAGCCAGTGTTCTTAATCTCTGAGCCATTTCTCCAGTCCTACTTTATAAAGTTACATGGCTTTAATTTGTTCAAAACTTAGTATACAGTATATTATGGTCTGTTATTTGATACAAGGATCATTATAAATATTATAAGCTAGTAAAGTAAGTGTAGTAGTTATCTTAGGAAAAATAAGTGCTGATCCTAAAAAAAAAGTTTAATCGAGGGCTGGAGAGATGGCTCATTGGGTAAGAGCACCTACTGCTCTTCTAGAGGACCCAGGTTCAATTCCCAACACTACATGGCAGCTCATCACCAGTAACCCCAGTTCTAGGGATCCGATGATCTCTTCTGACCTCCTTGGGTACCAGACACAATGTGGTACACATAACATGTTAAGAAAAATACTCACATGCAGGAAAAAGTTTTTTAGTGCATAATAAGGGCTGAGTATGGTGGCACATACCTTTAATTCCAGCATTTGGGAGACAGAAGCAAGTAGAGTATTCTTAGTTCCAGGACAGCCTGGCCTACATAACTAGTTCCAGTCCAGACTGGGGTGAATAGTGAGACCTCATCTCAAACAAAAACCTTACTCATTAATTTACACTCCTTGCTTTAGCATGTTAACTAGTTTATTTATTCATTTTTTAGAAATTCCTCATTATCAGCCTCAACCTCTTGCTCCTTCTGCCCCGGCCTCCTAAGTGCTAAGATGACAACATGTACTACCACACCTACCTCTTAGGCGGTTAACATTTACTTTTGATCTTAAGTGTAGTAGATATGTAAACACAGTTATGTTTAGGGAATAATATTTCTTCTTTTTCAGGGTAACCCAAATCTATTTCTGGAACCATGAAAGTTTTGTTGGTATTTGACTTCGACAATACAATCATCGATGACAATAGTGACACCTGGATTATACAGTGTGCTCCAAACAAAAAGCTTCCTGTGGAACTACAAGATTCTTACCAAAAGGGGTTTTGGACAGAATTTATGGGCAGAGTCTTTAAGTATTTGGGAGACAAAGGGGTAAAAGAAGATGAGATGAGAAGAACAGTGACATCAATGCCTTTCACTTCGGGGATGGTAGAGCTTTTCAACTTTCTAAGAATGAATAAGGATAAATTTGATTGCATCATTATTTCAGATTCAAATTCAGTCTTCATACATTGGGTTTTAGAAGCTGCTGATTTCCATGATGTCTTTGATAACGTGTTTACAAATCCAGCAGCTTTTGATAACAATGGTCGTCTCACAGTGAAAAATTGCCATGCTCATTCTTGTAATAGGTGCCCAAAGAATCTTTGCAAAAATGCAGTTTTGCTAGAATTTGTAGATAAACAGTTACAAAAGGGAGTGAGATATGCACGGATTGTTTATATAGGCGATGGTGGAAATGATGTCTGCCCAGTAACCTTCTTAAGAAAAAATGATGTTGCCATGCCTCGGAAAGGATATGCTTTACATAGAACTCTTGCCAGAATGTCTCAAAATCTTGAGCCTATGGAATCTTCTGTTGTAGTTTGGTCTTCAGGTGTTGAAATAATTTCTCATTTACGATTTCTAATAAAGGAGTAATGTGCCAACCATTGAAATGTGTATTAAGATTGGACTCCGTAACATAAAACGAAATCCACAATATCTAGTACCTATAAAAATGAGAGGGGGTTTCCCCTTTAAAGTGTTCTGATGATATTTTAAGGCCACTTTGTTGCTCAGGCAACCTCAGCTTTTGATTCCAGCCCATGATTGGTGGTTGATGGCCAAACACAAGTCTTCACAACTAACATCTGACCAGCAAGAACAGGGCAGTGGGGCTGTAACCCTTTGTTTAAGGATAGTTTCCAATTGTACCAAACAGTTCTGTTCAAATACCATTAGCCAAAGCCTAGTCAGTGCCTTCCCTAACTGCAGAATACAGCATTCATTCCAGATAACCATGTGATGGGAAAAGGTGGGAAAAAAACAATACATAGCTGAGGTAAGTGTAACTCATGGACTATACTAAGGATTGTTAGTGAATTGCATTTTTTAACTTACTCTTGCAAAAGGGTAGCCTTATTTTATTCATTTATTTAAAAAATACATCCAGTAGTTGGAAATGTGGAGAATAACTTGTGTTCAAGATTGAGCTTTACCCATAACCCACTGCTGAGGAAGGCATTGTTGCTGGAGGTGTAATGGATGCTGATACTTCCTTACAAGAGGTGCTGCAGACTGCCCTCATCCAAGGTGGTCCAGCATGGGAATCGTGCAAAGCTGCCAAAGCCTTAGGCAAGTGCATACCTGGACCCGATTGTGATGAGCCCATACGGGTAAAGTAGGTAGAGGAGCTTTGTCCTGAGCCTGCAGATCAACCTGACTAAGATAAGAAACTTGGAGTATTTTTAGGCATCTGTGAAAGCAAGGGAGGAAACCACATAAACTGCTTGGTTGCCTAAAGATGCCATGGAAGAATACTTGAAATCCAAGAAATAATATCGACTTATTTTCTCAAAAAGAAAAAAGCCTGATGCTTTATATACATAAGAATAAAAGGCTGTCAAATGTATATAATGTCTTCTGAAATCTGGTTTTAAGATAATGGTGCAGTACTTTAGGTTTTATTTACTGGTGTGGGTTGAGGCATGCCATGGAGCAGGGGGTGGAGGTCAGAAGACCGTTTATGGGAGTGGGTTCTTGTTCCACCATGTGGGTCTCAGGGATTGAACTCAGGGTCATCCACCTTGGTGACAAGTGTCCTCAACTGCTGAGCCATCTAACCAGCCCATGGTGCACTATTTCTTCTTTTTAAAGATTTATTTATGTATATGAGTGTTCTGTCGACTTTATGCAGAAGAAGGCATCAGATCCCACTGTAGACAGTTGTAAGCAACCATGTGGTTGCAGGGAATTGAACGCAGGACCTTGGGAAAAGCAGCTGGTGCTCTTAGCCACTGAGCCGTCTCTACCCCGTTGTAGTATTTCTTGTGTTTACATCAATCAGGATTTCCTTTTGAAATGAAATCATATTAATTTTCTTCACATGTTTTATGTTTGTATCATAGCATCATAATTATTACGATATGCTGTTATTTTTGTTGTTGCAAGACAGGGACTTGCTGTGTTAACCCAGACAGACCTCAGCTTCTCAATCCTGTCTGCTTACATCCACCATGCCTGGCTTCAATTTGCCAGTTTAAATAGTGTGCTATTTATATTGGCAATTCAGTTGTGAAAAATATGAACTTGTATAAATATTTGAGAGACCTTGATATAGGAAATATCTGCTGATCTGTACTTTTATAAATGCATGCTAATTCATAGGTTCATAATTAATCAAAATACTCAGTAAATATAATAGTTTTTTTCTTTTTATGTTTTAGTTTGTGTTGGGGTTTTTGTGTTCTGGATTTTTTTTTCTTGGTTTCTTCTGTTTTTTTGTTTGATTTTTGAGACAGGGTCTTACTGTAGGTAGTCCTGACTGGCCTGGAACCTGGTATGTAGACCACACTGGCCTTGAACCCACAACAATCTGACTACTTGTGCCTCAAATTCTGAGATTATAGGCATGGATTACCACACCTGGCATAATACAGTTTTCTTAATCTCCAAAATTAGAAATATTCAGTATAATGTAATGGGGAAAAATTGTACTCTTTCACCTCACTCCCAAATACAAACTAAATTTTTAGTAAGTTGTATTATGTTGAAACACATTTTTGCTTTGTTTTGTTTTTCCAAGACAGGGTTTCTCGAGGCAACTGCCCTAGTTGTCCTGGAACTCACTTTATAGAGACCAGGTTGCCCTCCAACTCAGGAGGGAGTGCTGGAATTAAAGGTGTGTGCCACCACCACCTAGCCACATTTCTTTTTTTTTTTTTCTTGGTTCAAATTGTTTTATTTCCATCTTTAACACTAGCAGGAGTCCAAAACAGACTGATATCCATGAGCATAATTTAAGTGTGACAAAGAAAGAATTAAAAACTATATACATGAAGAAAAAAGGAAAAGGATTTTTTTCTATACTAATCATTTCCTATTGGTACAGTTTCTGATTAGTATAAATAAACACATCTTTTTCTCAATTTAATTTAGGATGAAGTAATAGAATTTAAGATCAACTTCATAAACTGTCTTTAAGGAGAAAACTAATTTTTAAGTGGGTGTCACCATATTTACCGGTGAACTGGCTACATGGTGACCTTGGCTCCTTGAAGTCTGGCTATCATTAGAACTAAGAAGAGCAAGTCCATGAGGCCCACAAGGAACTCAATGGCTGTGACATCCAAGGAAGGGCACACACCACACATCACAATAATGAGAGCTAATGCTCCTACCCTTTGAGTCCATGAAAAAAATTATTAGTCTTATTCAAACTAACTGGAAGTCAAAACAGTTTAAAAAGTCAGAATGAAGAATGAAACTATTTTCACATAGAGGAGGGACACTCCTTCAGCGCCATTTAAAGTGAATTCTGTGCTGAGTCCCTGCTCCTCCAGAACAGTAAACTGAAAGTCAGTTATTGCTAGCAAAGCCCCAGTGGTCCCTTTCCCCACCTCAAAGATGTTTCACACAGGAAGGCTCCGGTTTGGCTTGAAGCCCTCTGAGGAAGTAGTGGAGGAAAGCTGGCACTGGAGGCCTATCCTCTACCAGCCACCGTACCTGGTGTCCCAGGGGCAATCTACCACCTCACTGCCTCCGAGAGCACCAGAGGCTCCCACACATAGAGTGGAGCAGATTGTTACGTGTCCCATGGGGAGGAAGAGGCACCATGCTTTGCTGACCAAAACCTAAAGTCCAGAGGATCAAAGCCCAACTGGCCAGAAGAGCAGCTTTGGGAAATATCATCTACTCAGGAGTGTGGGAAAGTCAGGGGAGTGGCAGGTTGAAACATGGGCAACAGCGACTTGGGCAAAAGCACGGAAGTAAACGGCTGATAAGGCCACTGTTGCTGCTACACCTCCTGGTGTCTATGCTTGGGCAGACATTAGGCATTAGACTGAAAAACTGAGGGTTGGAGAGCACTGTGGACAACACAGGACATATCTCAGCAGAAAAGAGGACACTCAGAGACTTTCGTGTCCTATTGGCCTTGAATGTTTTCTGTGCCAGGAAAAGACCTCTGCAGCATGGGTAGGGTTCCTGGGAACAGCTGGTGAACAGACATCGGGTGGGATGGACACTGCTCCCATAGGCAACACTGGCCTGGGGACGCTAGCACTGCTACATCTTCCGGATTGCTGAAGAGCAGGTGAAGAACGGGTTTATTGCAGTTTCTCATCCTTAGGAAACATGGTTGCCCTGCAGAGGGTCTCGACTTGCAGGAAACACCGCACATCAATGTAAGGTGCAGGCAGAATCATAGGTCACCTCTGCTCTCAAAAGAAAAAAGTCCACCAGCTGGGCTTTTCAGGGGAAGCTTCTGTACTGGGATCCTTGGGCTGGATGGACTGTGTCTGGCCAGGTCACTGTGTGGCAGTCAGAATAGCTAACTGGCAGATGCCTTGGGAGTGTTATGCACCCAGAAGAGTTGGTACAAACTTTCCCAACAGGGAAACTTCTCGGCCAACATGTAAGCTCCATAAAGAGGCTGGAGCCATGATACTCCAACTCCAATATGTCTGACTCCTTTTCTCCTGCTCTGGGCTCAGAACGCCCTGAGGAGCAGAGATGCTGATCTGGCCTGAGAGGATCCCTGGATCCTGCTCCATAGCATCAGACTGGAGAAAACAAAAGGATCTAAGGGGTTGGAAAACAGAGCAGTTTACATTAGACATTGATTTTTGAAAGTCTTTTTGAGCTCGGGAAACTGGAGGCAGATACCATGCAGAAAGGCCAGCCTGTCTGTCTGTCCATTGGTCTATCCTGAGCAGTTCTGAACATTTCATATATAAATGGGGTTGATCTTTTTCCTACAAGTTGGGCAAGTGTTAGCATTCTTAAGGGAATCACGGAGACACTGGCTACAGAAGACGAGGCCACATTCTGTAGAAACAATGAGGTGCCCATTCTGCACAATCTCTGAGCATCCATCCATGCAAGGGCCTGAGCCCTGTAGTTCCTTCATCCTTGGTGCCCTGGGAAGTATGAGTAGTCACATACACATCTTGGTCTCTAGACAGCTCCTCATCATCACTGCTCACCACACAGCTGTCAGCATGATGTTGGCGCAGCCTCCTGCTATTTCTTCTTGGCCCTCTCCTTTTCTTCAACAATCACAACAGAGCCATTGTGAGTCAGGTCCACAACCACAGGCTCTAAAGATTCACAGGTGAGGTCCACGATTTCATCTCCAGCAGTTTCCACGAGTTCTATGGGTTCTGCTTCCAAGGAAATCAATCTCAGGGGTTGAAGCTGTTTCCCGAGTTTGCTTCTGGGTTTGTCTAGAACTTACTGCTCCACCACGCCATTTTCTTTGAGGGTTTCGCGTACTCATTGTGCTCTCTGGCTTCAATCCACAGAAAAAGAAGTGATATTCACCAAGGTTTATGGGGAGGTGGAATGTTCTCAATCTCTCAGGCCCACTTAATACTCATTCTGTGGCTTACAATTTAGAGCCAACTAGAAGTCCAGTATTTCCAAGTTTTGAAGTCGATGAGATCAGGCA